TATATATATATATATATATATTCATACATATATATGTTTATATATATGTGAATATAATGCATATATATGAAATATAAATATAAATGTATGTAAATATACCATGTATTATTTTGAGAAATTTTGTCACTTAATCTTAATGTTACAATCCCCAAAACCAAGCTATGAACCCCGTCACCGGAAACTGATCTGCACAACTATTAAGAAGTCAGTGAGCAGACTTGATGACATCACCTAATTTCACTTTTACTTGATTTATTTTGGATTTATTTCTTCTTTCCAAATGCCATCAATATTATATCAATGGTGTTATTTCATTTTAGATATCATTATTACTCTAACGTTATATACATTATTAATAACAATATAAGAATATTACCGAAAATAAAGGAAAATGGTAAACAAGTAAGATAGTAGTAATTGACCCTTAATGACTAAGTACTTGCGGATCCATCTATGTGAAAAGACAATTAATAAAATCACTTGTAGTGGGTATGGCATCTCTGTACAAGCCATTATCGATGGCACTGTGTTAAATATAACCCTGACAAAGGGTCTACAAAAAGAGGGATAGACATTCAAATAAATAATTAAACGTATAGAAAATACCAATGGGGTTTGAGTTAGAACCTCTACAGATCAAAATATTATACAAAACCCTTCAACGTCTGAATAACAACAGCTATTTTACATTCTAAAACAATCAAGCACATAAATGGTTGGTTCAAGACTTAAAGTACATTGAAAAGCATACAACTCATATTTGTCTGTCCCTTGATTTCCTTGATAATTAACTGATATTTTTTCCTAAAAACAAATATGGCAATAAAGAATATTTCTCTTAACATTGCATAAATATATCTGTACATAGGAATAACATATATCCTGAAGAAAACACGGTCTCTATATGATTTATATCATTATTACAAATGAATCCTAGGAAATGACAGGTAAAGTTCCAGTTTCTCTGACACTTGCATGTCCAAAGTACATACAAGATTATTTTCCTAGATCTATTAGCTCTGTCCTTTGCATATATAGATTTTCCTTATAAAATAGGGCTGGTTGAAAGTTAAACCTTCCCAAATAACTTACCTATTTCGATATAATCATAAAGAGTAATATCATGATATCTAATTAATCATAAAAAGCTACATTAACATCCACCATTAGCTTTTCTGACAACACAACCAAAATATAAATGGAAAAAATGGCAGTACTTCCATAGTGCTATGGGCATAAAAATGCTAGTCTAATAACTTTAATTATTTACTTCCTTTTTAGGCAACAGTCATCATGTAAAAAAAAATTACATATATATAGGCTTTTTATTATATAATTTCACACAAACCACATTTGAACCAAACTCAAGCAAATAAATTTGCATCAAAACTTTGTATTTTATATGAAATATCCCGTTAATACTGGGATAAATTCTCGAATCTCAATCTCAATACACATATATATGCCACTAAAACAAACGTTTACTCAAAATTTAACAAAACTTAAAATAGGAAATCACTTCGCGCGTTTTGATGTACCTCTTAAGACACTTCCTGCTTAGAATGTAGTTATTTTCCACTCAGCAAGAGAGTACGGAACGTCACACTCGAGAGACTCTTCGCATGACGTAGACTCGTGACGTACCAGCTGTTCCTACTTACGTCAGTCAGCCTTTCATTTGCGCTAAACTGTAGCGAAGTCAGCCAACGTCGCTAACCTTTTCCCCCGTAAAATCCTGTGCTATACTCCTTATCAGTCCTGATGGTGCGACGAATCTCTGCAAACTATATTTTTAAGTTATTGAGTATCGATTAATTCTTGTTGGAATGTCTAGATCTAATCTCCTTGGTTCCTGGAACTGGTGCGATGCGAGTTTACCAGTTGCATGCATTAAAGTTGAAAGTTTATATATATTATGAAAATGTTGCAAACTTCAAACGTGATTCAACATGATCCGGCATTCATTGAGAAAAACGGCACGCATAATCAGTGTCTACCACATACAGGAGCATATTGTTCACCTGTTTTCATTATTTCAGAAATGCTATTACTCATGATCGAAAACCATCATTTGTCATTCGTGAAGGTAAATAAGGCTGAAGTGGCAGAAAGGATAACTTTACGTTTTTTCTCTTAGAGGGCAAACATCTTTGCGCTAAAGAGAGCAATGTAGCACAAAGCGCTAGGCATCTCGACACTACGCACCGGGATGTCACTAAAGACATCATTTCCTTACAATATTTTTCGCCTATTTTACGTAAAGTAACCGTACATTTTTCATGCTTAGTAAGTAGCTTCATAAATTATGAACGTAGGGATATAATAATAAGAAAAAGGAAAACCAAGGAAGAAAAAACCTTAAATTCCACTATCGCGAAAATAAGTTCCAAATTCTCTTGATGAGAGAATACATTGAAGTTCGCGTTTGATATCACATATGTTCTTTTCCCCTCATCCCTCGAAACTCCATGGTAGATAATCAAATTCCATTTCAATACCCCTTCATACTTGCAAACGACAAGATTGAATGCAGTGGGCCAATAAGAATAAGCGAAATCCAGGCTAAATGAAGGTACTAATTTGCGCGGCGGAGGAAGAGAGACGTCACACGCAGGGATGCGCAGCGGCTCACTCGCAACTCGGCCTCACACGAGACGAAAATGCAGCTTTCGATAATAACCGAGTGACCTTTGATTTTCCTGATTTATTCGTACATTCTGCTATGGATGTGATACCTTCAACCTCACGGTGTAATAGTGCGGTGAATAAGCAATTTAGTGCCGTAGAAATTGGTGAGTTATTCGCGGAGGAAGGCTGTGAAATAAATATTTGAAAGAGAGATGAATTTCGCGGTTTAACGAAGAGTCTTTCTCTGTTGCAGAACTGTACTATTTGATAGCCAAGTATTTATCGTCCGGCCCCTGCAAGAAAGCGTATGAGGTAAGTGTTGTTGATGGTACAGTGCAATATCTACCCGTGATCTAGCTGGATCTGACGAGTTTTCTCCTCGTTTCAGGTGCTGAGGGCCGAAATTGAAGAAAATCAGGTGAGTTTGAGATGTTGTGGCATCTGTCAGCTGACGGAACACGTGGTTGTGTGTACATTGTGAGATGCCGGTAGTGGGGGGCGTGTGTGGGAGGGGACAGAACCCCCCGAGTCACACATTTCAGGTGCCCCCCCGACCTCTATGTCATTTTTACGTTTTTCTCTTTTTTCGCAGTTACTACCTAAGAGATATGACTGGCTGGGCAATGAACATAGGAAATCACTCGATGAAGTGGTAAGTGCTATGGAAATTTTGACCCCTGTCACCGTTTGTACCCGCGGGAACGTGAGGGAATGGTGGGAAAGGGTGCGGGAAGATGGAGTGTAACATATATGTGAAATAAAGACATTGTGCAGCATTGATCATTGTCTGGCTGGAAGGTTTCGGCGAAGGAAAACATTTCTCCCAGTGGCGTACCTTGGCGCGGGTGGCGGTTGTGGACGTGCCAAATATTCATTTTTTCATCACCTTTCCCTCCCACTTCCTTTCATCATTTGGGTCTCCATTACTTTTTATCATGGAGATACTTTATAAAAGTTCAACATTTAAAAAGAAATGTGTAACTTAGAAACAAAATGGGAAGCGGTAAAATAAGGGATAGAAATAACTGTTTGGAACCTCGACTGGATGCGTGCCAGCCACACCGAGTGACGAAACTGGCAGCCATTCAGATTCGCCGGAGAGCCACCGCGGGAGCACAAGCGCGATTCTCATTGGTGGACAGACGTCGGCGGGGAGGGGCTTGCCGTAGGGATCAATATTGTGCAACAAGAGAAACAAAGAGGTTGCAAGCCAAGATGAGCGCTATTGGAAGGCGGCCAGACCACCACCACCACCTCCTCCCTTTCTCTGCGTCCCTCCCTCTCCCCCTCTTTACTCTCCCTCCCTTTGTCCCAGCCCCCCCTCTTTGCTCTCCCTCCCGTTGTCCCAGCCCCCCCTCTTTACTCTCCCTTTGTCCCGTCCCCTCTTTTGCCTTTCCCTCCATCCTTTATCTACCTCTACTCTCGCATTTTCTGCTCTCAACCTTTCGTCGTTCCCCTCTTGCCCACTTCTCTTCCCCCATCCTCGTCCACATTGTTGTTGTGTTCGTCGTCGTCGTCGTCGTCGTCGTCGTCGTCGTCCTCCTCCTCCTCCTCCTCCTCCTACTCCTCCTCTCTCCTCCTCCTCCTCCTCCTCCTCCTCCTCCATCCCCTCTCCTCCTCCTCCTCTTCCTCCTCCTCCATCCCTCTTCCTCTTCTCCATCCCCTCTTCCCTCCCCTCCTCCTCCTCCTCCCCCTCTTTCCCTCTTCCTCCATCCCTTCCTCCTCCTCTTCCTCTTCATCCCCTCCTCCTCCTTCCTGCCTCCTCTCCCTCCTCCTCCTTCAATCCCTCCTCCTCCTTCATCCCTCCTCCTCCTCCTCCTCCATCCCTCCTCCTCCTCCTCTCCATCCCCTCCTCCTCCTCCTCCTCCATCCCCTCCTCCTCCCTCCTCCTCCATCCCCTCCTCCTCCTCCTCCTCCATCCCCTCCTCCTCTCCTCCTCCTCTCCTCCTCCACCCTCATCTCCTCCTCCTCCTCCCCTCCTCCTCCTCCTCCATCCTCCTCCTCTCCTCCTCCCCTCCTCCTTCATCCTCCTCCTCTCCTCCTTCACCCTCTCTCATCCCTCCTCTCCTCCTCCTCCTACTTCATCCTCCTTCCTCCTCCTACTTCATCCCCTCCTCCTCCTCCTCCTCCTCCATCCATCCCCTCCTCCTCCTCATCCCTCCTCCTCCTCCATCCCCTCCTCCTCTCCATCCCCTCCTCCTCCTCCATCCCCTCCTCCTCCTCCTCCTCCTCCTCCCATCTCCTCTTCCTCTTCCTCTATCCCCTCCTCCTCCATCCTCCCTCCTCCTCCTCCTCCTCCATCCCCTCCTCCTCCTCCTCCTCCATCCCTCCTCCTCCTCCCTCCATCCCTCCTCCTCCTCCTCCTCATCCCTCCTCCTCCTCCTCCTCCATCCCTCCTCCTCCTCCTCCTCCATCCCCTTCTCCCTCCTCCTCCATCCTCCTCCTCTCTCCTCTCTATCCCCTCCTCCTCCACCTCCTCCTCCATCCCCTCCTCCTCCACCTCCTCCTCCATCCCCTCCTCCTCCACCTCCTCCTCCATCCCCTCCTCCCTCCACCTCCTCCTCCATCCCCTCCTCCTCCTCTTCTTCCCTTCTCTCCTTCCTCCCCNATCCTCCTTTCCTCCTCACAAACTCCTTTCCTCCTCCTCTCCTCTTTCTCTTGCTTCCTCGTCTTCCTCATGCTTTATTCTCATCCTCCTTCCTCACATTCATCGTCAGATCACCCTCACTCCTCATCCTCCTGTACTCCTCCTCCTCTCCCTTCTTCCTCTTCTTTCCTCGTCTTCCTCATCTTATTCCTCATCCTCCTTCAACCATTCCTCCTCACCATCCTCATCCCCCCTTCCTATGTCCTCCATTCTCACCCTTTTCCTCTCCTACCTCCTCTTCCCTCCATTTTATTCCTATCCCCATTCATATTCCCTCCTTCCTCCTCCTCCTCCACTTCTTTCCTCCCCCCCCCCCATCCCCCCTCCTCCTCCCTCCTCTCCCCTTCCTCTCCATCCCTACTCCTCCTCCCTCCCCTCTTCCCCCTCTATCCCCTCTTCACTCCTCCTCCTCCTCCTCACTCTCCTCCTCTTCCTCTTCCTCCTCTGCCTCCTCCTCCCTTCCCTCCTCCTCTCCATCCCCCCCCCCTCCCCCCCCCCCCCTCTCCTCCTCCTCCTCCTCCTCCTCTTCCTCCTCCTCCTCCTCTCCTTCCTCCTCCTCTTCCTCCTCCTCTCCTCCTCCTCCTCCTCCTCCTCTTCCTCCCCCTCTCCCTCCTCCTCCCCTCCTCCTCCTCCTCCTCCTCCCCTCCTCCCTCCTTCCTCCTCCTCCTCCTCCTCTTCTTCCTCCTCTCCTCTCTTCCCCTCCTTCTTCCTCCTCCTCCTCCTCCTCCTCCTCCTCCTATCTCCACCTCCTCCTCCTCCTCCTCCTCCTCCTCCTCCGCCTATCTCCTCCTCCTCCTCCTCCTCCTCTCCTCCTATCTCCTCCTCCTCCTCCTATCTCCTCCTCCTCCTCCTCCTCCTCCTCCTCCTCCTCCTCCTCCTCCTTCCTCCTCCTCCTCCTCCTCCTCCTCCCTCCTCCTCCTCCTCCTCCTCCTCCTCCTCCTCCATTCCTCTTCCTCCGTAGAATTTGTTTACGCTGTTGACGGTTTCCTTGTCGCAGGCTGAGCGTTGACGTGCACGCGAGGAGGAGAGAAGTGAGGGAGAGAAAAGAAGAGGGAAGAGAAGAGAGGGGGAAGAAAGCGGGAAGGGAAAAAAGCGAGGGGAAAGAGATAGGAAGAGAGGGCGTAATGAAGATGGTGAACAGGTAGAGTGATGTAGGAGGGGTATAGACAAGGGGAAGGAGGAGGGGGAGAGGTGAGGAAGGGAGAAGGAAAGGGGAAGGAGGAGGGGGAGAGGTGAGGAAGGGGGGAAGGGGAGGGGAAGAGGTAGGGAGGGGAGAAGGGGGAGGGGAAGCCGCACTGGGTCACTGGGGTGTTTAAGCCACATGATCCCCGCCGCAAGGTTAGGCTCGGCGGCGGCGGCGGTGGCGATGGCGGCGGCGGCACGTTTAATCCGATTCCCCTCGCGAGGTCCTGTGGGGCCTGGGCGCGAGGGGAAGGGGGGGGAGGAGTGGTTTAAGGGGAGGGAGGGGGAGAGGGAGGGGGGAAGGAGGGTTTTAAAAGGAGAGGAGAGGGAGAAGGAAGGGGAGAGGAGGGTTAAGGGAGGAGAGGGGGTAGGAGGGAGGGAGGAGAAGAGAGTGGAGAGAGGGAGGGGAAAGGGAAGGGGAGGGAAAGATGAGGTGGAAGGGGGGAGATGGAGGGGAAGGAGAGGGGGTAGGAGGGGAGGGGGGGTAGGAGGGATAGGAGGGATGGAGAGAAGAGGTGGAAGGGAGGGAGGGAGGAGGGGAAGGGGGGAGAGAGGGAGGGAGGGAAGGGAGAGGGGAGGAGAGGAGAGAAGGAGAGGGAGGGAGAGGGAAGTGGAGAGGAGAGAGGAGAGGAGAGGGGAGTGAGAGGAGGAGAGGAGGGGAGGGGAGGGAAGGGAGAGTTCGAGGAAAGGGACAAGGAGGAGAGTGACAGAAAGGGTTTGATGAGAGGGTGGAGAAAGGAAAGGAGGGGAGAGAGGAGAGGGTGAGGAAAGGAGAGGAGGGAGAAGAGTGGGTGAGGGAAGGAAGAGAGCGGCAAGGAGAGGAGATGAGGGGGAGGGCGGGAAGAGGAAAGGGTTTGAGGGAGGAGAGGAGGAGAGATGAGGAGTGGAGGGTCTGGTGGGATGAAGAGAGGTAGAAAAACAGGGTGGAGAGGAAAATAGGAGAGAAGGGAAAAGAAAGGATAGGAGAGGCGGAGAGAAGAGATCACACAGGCCTAGACTCGAGGGGAGGGGATGGGAGAGGGGAAATATGGGGAGGATGGGAGAGAGTGAAGAGAAGGGAGAGAGAAAGATAAAGAGGAAAGCCGATGTGAGGACGTAGGAGGGGAGAGGGAGAAGATGGAGGGGAAGGATGGGAGAAAAGATAGAAAAGGGGTTGGAAATGAGGAGGGGGAGAGGATAGGAGGAACAGAGGAACTGAGATGGAAGAGGAAGGTAGACAAGGGAGGAGAGGAGAGGATAGGGGAGAGGATAGAGGTTGAGGAGAAGGAGGGGAGATAGGAGGGGCGGAGGAGAGAGGTCTTACAGGGCCTAGATGTGGGGGAGAGAGGGGAAAGAGGAGGGGAGGGGGAGGTAGGAAAGGGGGTAGAGAAGAAGAGGACAGGATAAAAGGGGAGGAAAAGGGAACGACAGAAATGAGAGGAGGGAGAACGCGACAGGAGAAGAAGAAAGAGATGGAGGAAAAGGGAAGAAGGGAGGGATGGCAGGGGGAGAGGATAAGAAAAGGGACCTAGAGTAAGTGGAGAAGCAATAGGAAAGTAAAAGGTGTAATACTACAGTTGTAAAAAAGGGAGAAAGGGTGAAGGGAAGCGTTAGGGAGCGAGGGGAGGGCAAGGTGCACAAGAATTAAATAGGCTGCCCATTTTCTCTGGGTACAAGGCCAGTAGGCTGCCCATTTTCTCTGGGAACAAGGTCAATCGGCTGCCCATTTTCTCTGGGAACAAGGTCAATCGGCTGCCCATTTTCTCTGGGAACAGGTCAATCGGCTGCCCATTTTTCTCTGGGAACAAGGTCAATCGGCTGCCCATTTTCTCTGGGAACAAGGCTGCCATTTTCTCTGGGAACAAGGTCAATCGGCTGCCCATTTTCTCTGGGAACAAGGTCAATCGGCTGCCCATTTTCTCTGGGAACAAGGTCAATCGGCCTGCCCATTTCTCTGGGAACAAGGTCAATTGCCCATTTTCTCTGGGAACAAGGTCAATCGGCTGCCCCATTTTTCTGGGAACAAGGTCAATCGGCTGCCATTTTCTCTGGGAACAAGGTCAATCGGCTGCCCATTTTCTCTGGGGAACAAGGTCAATCGGCTGCCATTTTCTCTGGGATCAATCGGCTGCCCATTTTCTCTGGGAACAAGGTCAATAATTTTCTCTGGGAACAAGGCATCGGCTGCCCATTTCTTCTGGGAACAAGGTCAATCGGCTGCCCATTTTCTCTGGGAACAAGGTCAATCGGCTGCCCATTTTCTCTGGGAACAAGGTCAATCGGCTGCCCATTTTCTCTGGGAACAAGGTCAATCGGCTGCCCATTTTCTCTCAATCGGCTGCCCATTTTCTCTGGGAACAAGGTCAATCGGCTGCCCATTTTCTCTGGAACAAGGTCAATCGCTGCCCATTTTCTCTGGAACAAGGTCAATCGCTGCCCATTTTTTCTCTGGGACAAGGTCAAGGCTGCCCATTTTCTCTGGGAACAAGGTCAATCGGCTGCCCATTTTCTCTGGGAACAAGGTCAATCGGCTGCCATTTTCTCTGGGAACAAGGTCAATCGGCTGCCCATTTTCTCTGGAACAAGGTCAATCGGCTGCCCATTTTCTCTGGGAAAGGCAATCGGCTGCCATTTCTGGGAACAAGGTGGCTGCCCATTTTCTCTGGGAACAAGGTCAATCGGCTGCCCATTTTCTCTGGGAACAAGGTCAATCGGCTGCCCATTTCTCTGGGAACAAGGTCAATCGGCTGCCCATTTT